ATATTTTCGGACATAAAATTAGCAAGGATAAAGAGCAGTAAGGAAGACTATTTTACAATAGAAGAGTCAATATATAAGAGAGAGAATCACAAATATATATATATATATATAAACCCACTTATAGAGCTTCAAATACAAAAGAGAATAACAAGCTCACTTCTATAATCCTAGTCACTTGGACAACTGAGAACAGGAGGATTGATCTTTGAAGCCAGCCACTGCAGAAAAGATCAAGAGACCCCATCCAGTTCAGTTTGTACTTGGGAAACAATGGCATACACCTGTTATTTCAAGCTACATGGGATAATGGGAAATTATATTCAGCAGTACTAGGCCAGTCTGGGTAGGAAAGCTGTGAGATTCATCTCACACCATTATTATGTGCCTTTGATCTGAGTGACAACCAGAAGCCTAAAGTAGGATGATGGCAACTTGGACAAGTTCTGGGACAGGATGCAAGAATGTCCTAAAAATAACCAATAAAAAAAACGGGTAGAGGTGTGACTTAGCTATTCTGATTGTCAACAACCAATCCCAAGTCAGATGTCCACCATAATTATATTGTTGACATTAACTCTTTGGTGAAATTGGTACAATGTGGCCCAAGTCTTCTGCCATAAAAAAATTCTTGTCAAATATAACATTCCAAGGGCTTCATTTTGCTTGCCAATGTCTAGTCCTGTAAAGAGTGTTTTAGCAATCGAGTCTTCCAGGTTATTCTTATGTACAACATCTAACCAGACTGATCATGAAAAAAAAACATAGAAGACATAAATTACCAATGTTTGGAAACTTAGAATATTCACTGCAGATAATATAGACTTTAAAGAGACAATAAAGTATGCAATATATACAAATATATTAACTAATGTGGTATTTTCAGAACATAATTCAAGCACATAATTACTTAGATTTACAGTCCAACAAAATGATTACCAGAAAACTGGTACTTGAAAGGTGGGGAGTGTTAGGGAAGGAGGATAGACAAACAGAAGAAGGGGCGAGGAAAAGGCACTCAAAATTCCATGCATATCCTATGAAATTAAAATGAAGGGGAGCTATTGGTTTGGGAGGGATTGGGGAGAATGATGAAAGCAGTGACATTGATCAAGATGCACTATAATCATAAACTGATTGGTTGAATGGTAACTTTTATACAACTAATTACAGATAATAAAAATATAATTTAAAATTTAAAAAGATAAGGACTGTGAATTACTTCAGTATAACCAATTTAGCTGTTGAGATTAAATGTATAAAGTACATGAAGGGCACAAACTTCCAAAGTCTAAGCACAAAGAAGTAGATAACTTCAATATTGCATATCTTAAAAAAAATTGAATCTGTTCTTCGAAACCTCACAAAAAACACTAGTCCCACTATCATTGACGTATTGTACCAAACACTGGAGGAAGAAATAGTAACTATTATATCCAAACTTTTATGGACCATTCCTTTTTTCTTTTTTTAAATGGTCAATAATTACTCTGATACCAAAGCCAGACAAAGATATTACTAGAAAATTACCAACCAATATCCCCTGGAAAATAGATTCAAAGATCTCCAGTAAGAGATTAGGAAATAAATAATAGTAATTGTCTCAGTTATACATTGTTATTTCAGCATTGAAAACATTACTCAATGTAATTCACCATATCAAAATATTAAATAAGAAAACAACATGATCATCCCAAATGCAGATAAAGGGGAAGGGAGGGACTTGGAAATGTCTATTATCTTTTCGTGAAATTTCTTAAAAGGGTAGGAAAGAACCTTTTCAATATAGGCTTCTAAAAATCTCATAGCTAATTTCATATTTAATGACAAATAATGAATTTATGTCTTAAGCTTACGCATTTACAATTACATTGTAGACCTTGACCAGTGCAATAGTACATTTACCGGTAATGAATTACCTAAAATTTAAAAATTGCTTAAAAGCAACAAAAATATGTAATAGCCAAGCATAAGTGTATTACATAAATGTGTAATATCTGTATTAAAAAGCTCCATCGTGCTGAAAATAAAGAAAATAAATAGGTGCCTGTGTTCATAGTTTGGAATAATCAATATTGTTAAATTTATTTCTCTAAAAGTTTTATTAATTTGGTTCAATTCAAACTTACCAGCAATTTGGTATGCAGAAACAATTACAAAATTTATTTGGATATGTAACTACCAGACCAAAAAGAAAAGGAATTACTCAATTGATTCAAGACTCATTGTAAAGCTATTTTAATTAAGACAACCTGATAGGTGTATTTATCAGTAGAGCAAAATAGAATCTAGAAAAAGGCACAGTGTAAATGATCAGTTGGTTCTTTGTTCTTTTACTTTGTGTGTGTGTGTGTGTGTGTGTGTGTGTGTGTGTGTGTGTGTCTGTGTGTGTGGAGGGTGGTGGTGGGTGCTTGCTGGAAATTGAACCTGATTCCTTGCCCATGCCTCATTACCATTGAGCTTCACTCATACCCTGATCAGCTAATTGTTGATAAAAGTTATCAAGGTTAATTTAATAAGGGAGAGGATATTTCTAACTAAAGGTCCTTGAACAGTTAGATATCTGTATACAACACAAAAATTATAGCCATATTTTGTTTGGAAAGTAGGAAGTGAGTGAAAACCTACATATACGAGCTAAAACTATATAACTGATAGAAGAAACAGGATAAAACCTTCATAACTTTCACTTAGAGCAGAATAAATAAATTAAACACTGATTCATCTGATTAGCTTTAATTTTAAAAATATTTTCTTTGGAACCAAAACTTAACATTGCTTCTAAATCTTGGTTATCTCCTGTTGTGATTATTTCTTTCAGGAGTATTCTTACTGTTCGTTTACATTAGTGCTTCATTTCTGGTCTTCACTGAAAACTTTTTACATATGGTCCATTTTAACATCACGAGAATTCAAGGTTATGACTAAAGAAAACAAAAAAATTAAAAATTAAAGAGAAGCTATTTTTATTAGATTTAATTTGGAAAGTTTTTTTTCAGAAATGTGGCTCTATAATTTACCTTTAAAGATGAGATAGAGTTTGGAAATTTTAAGTGAGCAAAGAAATCCTGAATATGTTAAAAATTGGATATATATTTGATATACTAGTTCTTTCCATATTTTACTATACTACCTGTTTTTTTTTGACTGCTCTGTGTGTGTGTGTGTGTGTGTGTGTGTGTGTGTGTGTGTGTGTGTGTGTTTGTCTTTTTTTTTTTTTGGTCGATCGTGAGGCTTGAACTCTGGGCTTGGGTGCTGTCCCTGAGCTCTTCAGCTCAAGGCAAGCGCTATACCACTTGAGCCATAGCTCTTATTGGAGATAAGAGTCTCACTTGAGTTTCCTGCCCAGGCTGGCTTTGAACCTTTATCCTCAGATCTCAGCCTCCTGAGTAGTTAGGATTACAGCGTGAGCCACCGGCGCCTGGCTTGTGTGTGTCTTGAGCTAAGGGCGTATGTGCTGTCCCTGAGATTCTTTTTGCTCAAGGCTACCATTCCACCACTTTAGCCCCAACTTCATTTCTGGATATTGGGTGGCTTATTGAAGATATAGAGACTCACAGATTTTCCTGCCAGGGCTGGCTTTGAACCACAAACCTCAGATCTCAGCCTCTTGAGCAGTGAATTGCTTTTCAACAGAATTCTAATAATTGAACTTCAGTATTGTTTGGTAATTTCATTCATATCAAGGAGAAATCATCTTGATTTTGACTTTTAGAGAACTTTGGTTTTTGCCCATTCTGTTTTACAACATATATGTTAAGGGTTTTTTTTTTTCTGTCAAAGTTTTCTATCATTTACAGACTGATCCTTATGATTTTTCAAAAACCACACTTACCTTTAGGAACAGTCTTCTCTTGTTATCTGTGATTTTGGTTTTGTTGTTTTTATTTTTGTTTTGAGACTGTTTAACCATGTAGGTTAGGCTAGGCTAAAACTTCAAATCCTCCTGTCTCCCATACCCAAGTGCTGTGATTAGATGTGTGAGTCACCCCTAGCTTTGAGAGTCTCTTAATATCTCTTAAATTATCTGTTTAAATCCTTTGGAAATTTCTCTTAATTACTTACTTCCGGTTAATAACATTCCTTTGTGATTTTTCAGCCTTTCATTGATATTTTTTCTGTTAAAAAAGTTCTCATTTCAAATAATTTTGATTAGGGAAAGAAGTATAGCTAGCAGTTGCTATTTTATTATTTGCTAGATAATCATTTGGGTTACCAAGATTTTGGTGGTACACAGGCTAATTGTAGAGTAATTGTTAAGCTGTAGACTTGATTTTAGAGGATAATTATGGAGAAAGAAAAAGAACCCTTGTATGTTTTCTGTTTGAGAACTTGAAATGTTTTATGCTTGAAATGTTTCAAAGTCTCTTAATTAATTACAGTGGAGATTTTTCTGCTAATGAGGAAAGTGGCATTTAAAATTTGAGTAATTAATTTACTTAAAAACCCTTAATTACTCTTTTAATTCTTGGCAGCACTGGGATTTGAATTCACGATCTTCTGCTGAGTCATGCCTCCAGCCTTTAAGCATTTATTATTTTTTATTCCTGCTCAGATGTGTGCCAAAACTGTAATCCTCCTATTTTAGGCTTTCTCCTTTAGCTGAGATGACAAGTGTGTGCTACTGTGCCCTGCTTCTTCAACTTGAGATGAAGTCTCACAGTCTTCTACCTAGACTTTCCTGGAACCTGGATCCTTTCAACCTCACTCTTCCAAGTAGCTAGGCTTACAGTCACAGGCAACCATTGCCTGGCTCTTAAGTACTTTTTCATGTTAATTAAATAATTTACTTAGTCTGAAGTTACTTTGGGGGATTTCCAATCTAATTCTGGTATGTAAACTGGTGAGTCATCATCACATGCTCTGGAACAGTATCATTCTATCCAAGAAAGAAAAAAAAACAGCATATAATATTTTCAAAATTAATCAGCAACTATTGTTTTTGTCTTTATATAATAGACTGTGCCTCACTGAACTTTCATTACTGTGTCTTCTTTTCTTAGCTTTCCACTAGCAGTAATCTTCAGGATATTAAGGAATCTAAAAGTGATCATATGAGTTGCACTAATACCACTAACCCAGAGAAGAGCATGCGAGTTACTAAAAACAAACTGAGGAATACACAATCAGCAGGTGAAGATCCAAGTGATGACATGAGTGTAGAGGAAGACAAGCAAGGGAAGCCAAACAAGAAAGTTACAAAGACCACACAAGATATGGAACCAGAAACTCCCGATAAAGCTGATTCTGCACATCAGAAAGTTCGAACAAAATCACAGGCAGGTGGTGATCATCAGAAAAGTGATAAAGTAAATGAAGGAAAAGAAAAAAGTGATGCAGAAGGGGAAGAAGATCTGATAGAAGCATATCAGCTCCAGGTAGCAGAAGAAATGGCAAAGGAGATTAAGAAGAAAATAAGGAAGAAGCTGAAAGAACAGTTGACATATTTTCCCTCAGATACTTTATTGCACGATGACAAACTGAGCAGTGAAAAAAGAAAAAAGAAGAAAAAGAAAGTTCAAGTAGTGTCTAAAGCTGAACCAAGGTACTTTACACTAATAGCATAAAAGTTAAAAAATTGAAATAAGTAATTTTCAGCTTTTTGAGTGATATCTTGAGATTAACAAAGAAAATTCTTAGTATTTTATTTCAAGACATTTCCACTAAGCTAATAATGGCTTACCTTTACCCAGTACCTTTCAGTGTGCTAGATGTTTTACAAAAATGTAAGGAATTATTGCTTTAAAAAAGTTCATGAGGAAATACAGTAACATCATTCTATTTTGCTGATATTCTAGAGCTGTTTCTCCTAAACCTAAATGATTCACCCTCACTCAAAAATAGATGACCAGTGGCAACAAAGAGAAGAGAAATCAATTTAGTAGAAAGACATGCTAGCAAATGTAGTTATCCACTGATGCTTTCAATATTAAATAAAGCTCAGAACAATAAACATTTATCATCTCACACTACCTGGAGTTCAGAAATCTTGGGTGACTTAGCTGAGAGTTTTTGAATCTCAAAAGGTTCTCTCACAGGTTGCAGTCAGGATGTTAGCCAGATCTGAAGTCACTTTAAGCCTGGCCAGGTATAACATCTGCCAAATGACACATACAGTTCTTGAATCTCAGGAAATCTGTATTTAAGCTTTGCCATGTGGCAATTGGCAGGTCTCTGGTTCTGATTTGCTTTTAGTGAGAGACATCAGTTCCTTGCCATATGGATCTCTCTACATGAGTTACCTCCTCATGGCTGCTTGCCAGAGCAAGGACTTTGAGAGTAAGAGCAAAAAAGAAGTCACATCTTTTTTTTTTGTTTGTTTTTTTGGGTCCGGTCGTGGGGCCTGCACTCTGGGCCTAGGCGCTGTCCCTCAGCTTTTCAGCTTAAGGCTAGTGCTCTACCACTTGAGCCACAGCGCCACTTCCAGCTTTTTTCTTTTTGCTCAATGGGTGCTGAGGAATCGAACCCAGGGCCTCATGCATGCAAGGCAAGTGCTCTACCACTGAGCCACCTTCACAGCCCAGAAGTCACATCTTTTTAGGACATGATTTAGAAGTATGATATCCAATACCTTTATCACATTTTATTAGAAATGGATGATGATATCCAGCTCACACTCAGAAGTAAGAGGATTGTACAAAGAAATGAACATAAAAGAGTCAAGACTGCTTTTCACAGAGTACTGCAAACTTCCTTCCCATAGCTACTACATCAGTGAGGAATTGGAAAGTCACTCTCACTTTAAAATAGGGTTAATTCTTGAATTTGAATTAAAACTACATCTTACATGACAGTGGCATGAAAAGGGTAGCTGAATTTTCTTTAATAATCGTATTGGTAATTGACAAAATAGCAAGGCCTTCTGGAATAACAAATATGAAATATTTATTTGTCTCAGCCCCATTTTTTTTACAATGATAACTAAATATATTGGGAGTTATTTTTCTATTTATTTGTTTTGTTTTTGTATTTTTGGGTCTGGTGATGGGGCCTGAACTCTGGGCCTGGGCACTGTCCCTCAGCTCTTCAGCTCAAGGCTAGCGCTCTACCACTTCTGGCTTTTTTTCTTTTTGGTTATGTGGTGCTGAGCAATCGAACCCAGGGCCTCATACATGCAAGGCAAGTGCTCTACCACTGAGCCACCTTCCCAGCCCCTTATTTTTCTATTTAAATGAGCTTTTTAACTAGATAAATTCAAGTAAATTTTTAATAGGCAGCTTTCCATTAAACTTACCATTTATTGGTTCCATATGGGTTTTTATTTTACTTATATCCTTCTGAAAATGTCACATAGGAGCCACTAAAATCATCAATTAATTTTTAACCTAAAAAATTGGCATAGCCAAAGCCTCTTGAAATCAGAACTAGAACAATTTTTTGGCCTTTAAAAAGTCATTAAAGGGCTGGGATATAGCTCAGTGGCAAAGCATTTGCCTGGCAAGTGCAGTGTCCTAGGTTTGATCCTCAGTAACAACAAAAAAAGAAAATACAAAAAAAAAGTCATTAAAGCCAGGTACTGGTGAGTCACACTTGTGATTCTCACTCACTACTCAGGAGGCTGAAATCTGAGGATCAAAACCAGCTGGGCATAAAAGTCCATGAAACTCTTATTTCCAGTTACCCACCAGAAAACTGGTAGTGGTGCTGTGTCTCAAAGTTGTAGAGCACTAGCCTTGAGCAAAAGAGCTCAGGGACAGTGCCCAGGCCCTGAGTTCAAGCCCACAACCAGCCAAACAAAACAAGTCATCAAATATGCAGAAATTTGTTCATTAATCATTTACTTTCAGTCCTCTGTAAGACAGGTCTATTTCTCACAAAATGCCATTGCCTCCCTTCTTCCCTCTCTTCCCTCCCTCCCTCCCTTTCTCCCTCCCTCCCTTCCTCTCCCTCTTTCCCTTCTTCCCTCCCTCCCTCCTTCCACCCCCTCTCTGTTTTTCTTTCTTTCTTTTTTTTTAAGATAGAGTTCTACTTTATAGCTTAGGCTGCCTTGAATTTACTCTGTAGCCAGGATAACCTCAAACTGGCAATCCTCTTGCCTCAGCCTCAGGAGTGCTAGGATTATTCCCTAGGTTTTCGAACTCACATTAGGCTGACTCCAGGATATGGTAACTCCTCACCCAGTATAAAATAATACCTAATGATGACCAGTTTGATTGCTAGTCATGGCTAGACAGTATATAGAACTTCTGGCAGAAAATAAAACTTCAGGGTTATTATTACTTCTGTTTCCATTTACTTTGTTGTTCAATAAATAATAATTGTAGTAACAATGCATTTGTAAAGAAAATTCCACTTGTGTTATATATTCAGCACACCAACCATCTGTGATGACACAGTTGAAAGTGAGCAAAAGAAGGAATGTTCAGATTCTCATCAAGATGATGAAGTAAGCTCAACAGAACAAAACATAGATGAGAACTTGCCAGATAATGCAAAATCCAAACCAAAGAAAACAAAAAAGAAGGCTAAACCAGGTTTGTAACTGAACATATATGAAAAATGGTTTCTTTTAGCAGAAATAACTGAAAAAATTATAATCTTTCACATTAAAACTAAAGAATATGGCTTAATGTAGCATATTTCTCACTTGTTCTTGATTCATTTAGATTAAAACCTGCATTTGTATCTATGCATCTTTTTAATAAAGGTGTATTACCTAAGTCAATATTAGTTTGTAATTTAATTAAACTCTAGAATGATATAGACTTTGTAGTTAGAGTTGTGGAACATAAAAAGCCCTTTTTAAATCCTGAATTTAGAACTCCTAAGTAGTTAATTCAGTTGAGCTTTCATTCATTAAAAAACTATTTTGCCCATTTTTTATTTTCTTAAGTGTATTAGTTACGGTTATTTTAAAATTATTTTGTGGAAACTATTCTCTATCATCTGTGAGTCTGTTTCTGTTGTCTTTTTTCTCGATTATTGGTTACATAATCTGCCTCTTCTATAACTCTTTATTATAGTGTGGATATTGTTAATTGAATACAATTAACAATTAACAATCTTCCCTTGAGAAGGCTTTCCTTTTCCTCACATAGGCAGATAAGAGTGTCCTATCAGTACCCCATCAAAGTGCCAATCAGGGCTAGATTGTAATTCAGTGCATATTAAATTGAATTTTAGTCTATTTAATATGCATTAGTTCTGTACTTTTCTAATGCTTTTACAATAAGCTACTTTTAACTTATCTTTTCCAAGTTGCTTTTAATCTAAGTGTTGAACTGAATTGTATATAGTCCATGTTAAAATAACTAGATGAAATTAATTTTATTTTTTTATATTTTTCTTACATTGTTGGTCATAACTTGGAAAAAATAAAAGATTTCTCATTTTATTTTAATGATTAGTAAGTATTTTACTTTTATAGTGTTTTATGTTACTGTCTATCCTTTCTTTTCCTTTGAAGTTTTATTAATAAAGTGAAATAAGCATGGATCATACAAATTAGGTTGTATTTAAATCCAACCATAAGAACAATTAAATACTGATTTTCTTCCCTGCCTGTAGTTTCAGATGATAATGAAGACATTGATGGTGATGGTGTTCATGAAGTAACAAGCCGAGATAGTCCAGTTTATCCCAAATGTTTACTTGATGATGACCTCGTCTTGGGCGTTTATATTCACCGAACTGATAGACTTAAATCAGATTTTATGATTTCTCATCCAATGGTAAAAATTCATGTGATTGATGAGAATACTGGTCAATATGTCAAGAAAGATGATAGGTAATTTCTTTTAATTGACCAGTTAACCCTTGAAATGGAATCTGTTTACAGAATTCTTCTTTTTTGTGATTATTAATACTAAAGTCATCAGGTATATGAGTTGTAAGTGCACATTAAGTATACATTTGACACTGATAAATACATTTTACAGAAATGGAGAATATCCATTTTTAAGTGGAGAGAGTTTCTACCTCGCTTCATAATGAATTTATGCCTTAAAACTTGCATTATAAATGACTGTAAATGTCCTAGTTATGTGACCTCATAATTTCCTTTTAAATTAATATATGCATATGAGGTAATGTTAATGAATCTTGATTTTTCCCCCTAGAATTACTTCTATAGATAACACATGTCTTCCTTGACAGCTCAGATTAGAAAATACACTAAAATAATTTACTGACATACTATTATAGTGGAATTTAAAAATATTTGCTTGGAAAGATGATAAGAAATGAAGAAATGATGACTGTGAAAAACCATTCACTTACTTGTCTTTGGACTTACAAAATTACAGCAGCTCAAAACATTGTTTATTTTCTTACAATAAAACTTTATTATGCTTTTTATTACAAACTTAAAATTATAAAATAGTGGGCTGGGAAGGTGGCTCAGTGGTAGAGCGCTTGCCTTGCATGCATGAGGCCCTGGGTTCGATTCCTCAGCACCACATAGGCAAAAAGAAAAAAGCCGGAAGTGGCGCTGTGGCTCAAGTGGTAGAGCGCTAGCCTTGAGCTGAATTGCTGAGGGACAGCGCCCAGGCCCAGAGTTCAGGCCCCACGACCGGACGCAAAAAAAAAAAAAAAAAAAAATTATAAAATAGTTACTTTAGTTCAGCTCTTTATTGTAAAGGTGCAATTATTTCTTTTACTTTATAGTTCTTGATAAAGTAATTCTGTGAATCTTACTGATAGTACTTAAATGTGAGATGATAGTAAGGCACTACTACTTTTAAGTTTAATAAAATTAATTTTTAGTTAGATAAATATAATTTCTGGTTTTGTATCATAGCTATCCATTATTTCTGGTGGCCTCCCTTGTGCACTGTATTTTTCTCATCCTAAAAATTATCATGAATTGTGTTAATAGAAGTATGTTTATTTCAACAGTGAACGTCCAGTTTCATCTTATTATGAAAAAGACAATGTGGATTATATTCTTCCTATTATGACCCAGCCATATGATTTTAAACAGTTAAAATCAAGACTTCCAGAGTGGGAAGAACAAATTATCTTTAATGAAAATTTTCCCTATTTGCTTCGAGATTTTGATGAGTGTCCTAAAGTCATCTTGTTCTTTGAGGTATGAATTGAACAACTAAATTTTAGTTAATATTAAATTATATTAACATTAAGCTGTTATTTTTAATAGTTCAGTAATGCAGCAAAGTATTGTAAGAATTTAATCCCTAGGATCTAGACTTTGCAATATTTTGTATCAGTGGGAACCCTGTTTTAAAAAGAATGATAACTGGGAGGGTGGGAAGGGATGAGAAGGGGAAACAAAGGAGGAAGCTACAATGCTTGATAAGAAATGTACTTATTATCTTGCCCATGTAATTGTAACCCCTCTGTACAGTATTTTCACAATAAAAAAATCAAAAAAAAGAATGATAACTTAATTGATGAACATTAACTAGTGCCAAGAGTTAGCCATTTGACCTAATCTGTCATTTAATCTTGTAACAACCCTGTAACGATGAACAGAAGTGATATGTCAGATCTTTTTGATATCAATTATCCATTATGAATCCATTTTACAGAGTGGAAAGTCATTTAATTCTTATCAGGGTCCCTAATTATATCCATACTACCTGGATTAGAAAAGATAAACATACCCAGCCAGGCACCTATAATTGTAGCTACTCAGGAGGCTAAGATCTGTGGATTGTCGTTCAAGACTCTTAAGATCTAGTTAACTAGCAAAAAGCCTGAAGTAGAGTAACAGTTCAAGTGGTAGCGTGCCAACAATGATCAAAAGCACCAAGCAAGAACAGAAGGCTTTGGGTTTAAGCTCCAGTGCCAACAAAAAAAAGCTGGGCAGGATGGTAAGCACCTTTTATTTATCTTTGTAAGAAGCATAAATAGGAAGATCATGATCTAATCTAGCCCAAGCAAAATCAAGATACTATTTGAAAAAATAACTACAGCAAAAAGGACCAATGATATGCCTCAAAGCAGTAGATAACATACTTATCAAGCATGAAGCACTGAGTTCAACCTCTAGTGTACCCACACATACATGCAAACACACAAGATGAATGAAATCCATTATTGTTTAAGCAGCCTTCAATAGAAATTATCTTACTATAAGTTCACCAGCAAGTTTTGAGTGACAAGTACCTAGAATACAGAAATGTACTGTGAAGATGGTTGCAAATATTTGATCTCTTAGGATGGAGATATGAAAGAAATTCTCTTGAGAAACCTCACTGTAATTTAATCCAAGAGAAAGCCTTTAGCTTCAGAAAGGTAATACAAAGAAGGACCAGGAAATAAGCAAACACACAAAAATAGGGTTCTGACTTTTTAAAATAAATAGCCATTTGAACTTTTGCTTGATACATTAAGAATAATCAATGCTCTAAGGATCCTATCAGTGCATTTTTGCTTGGACTTATATTTGAGGTAATATAAAAAAATTAACCTCGACTATAGTAAAATCTTGTCTTAAAAACAAGACACAAAGAGGGGAAAACACGTATTTTCACTTCCTATAAAGAGACATTTTTTAGTATACAAATAATTTTTAAAATAATGTATCATTAGAAAATACTAAATTTTAAGTAGACTAATATTCTTAGAAGTAATTTTTTAATTCTTTTTTGCAGATTCTTGATTTTTTAAGCATGGATGAAATTAAGAATAACTCTGAGGTTCAAAACCAAGAATGTGGCTTTCGGAAAATTGCCTGGGCATTTCTTAAGGTATTTTTTTCATACATCTTTGTGCACATTTAGAATAATCTCTAAATTAGATTGACATTTTTTTCCAAGTCAATTTGAACCTTAAGACAGAAGTTAAGATCATAATGATGATAGATCAGTTGTTTACTCAGATTCTGGTGAGGATCTCATTTGTTCTGGTGAGTCAATAGTTGGCTTCTTGGTGTGTGCCATTTACACTTTTGTTCTTAAGGATGCAGCATTGAGAAAGACATACAGTCCTGCCATTATTTTTTCAGTTCAGTAAATATTTATTAAGACATTTATGTGTGCCAGCTACTAATCTTGTCAGTGAACTTAAAGGAGAGATTCCTTGACCTTATCAATTTCATATTCTAGCCAGAAAAAGCAAACAAAAAGCCCTACTCAATTATACAATATGTAGTTTAATCACAGTTTTTATTGTAAGCGTTTATTTTAAGTTACAGGGTAGATGATGAAAACAGATTCTGTAGGGTGTAGAATATTAAAATAACTTATAGAAACTATGATTTGGAAATATGACAGTAAGAGGGCTAATGGAGTGTAGAGAGCTTAGTAGTTAATGACTATATGTTATTACTCAATTTGATACGCTGCCTCCTCCCTTCCTTTCATATTATTGAGTTCACTGTTATCTTCTGTTGTCTTTGTATCCCTTCCTAGATTTGAGGAGTGGAATGGAATGAGGTATATTTTGCATTGCTGTTTCCTTGTTGATATATCATTCCTGAACATTTTACAGTCTGGATTTTGCCTGTACCATTAAAACTTCTTCATCCAAATCATTAATTATTTCTGTTTGCCAAATTTGATCAATTTTTGCTTTTTTATTTATATTCTTTGTTGGTTATGGGCTTAAACTCAGGGCCTGGGTGCTGTCCCTGAGCTTTTTTGCTCAAGGCTAGTGCTCTACCACTTTGAGCCACAACTCTACTTATGGTTTTCTGGTGGTTAATTGGAGATAGAATCTCATGGACTTTCCTGCCTGGGGTGGCTTTGAACTGTAGTCCTCAGATCTCAGCCTCCTGAGTAGTTAGAATCACAAGTGTGAGCTACCAATATATTGTTCACTTTTTATTTCATCATACTTATGTGCATTTGAAACATCATTCTCTTGAAACTCTGCTACGTTATTAGATTTCTTTCCTGGTTTTATTTATTCCATTCCTTCTTAGTTTTTCAGTTTTCTCTTTACTGTCAGTGCTACTTGTAGTTTCATCTTTAACTTGGCTCACTCTTCTTTTTTTTCATATTTGTAAATGCTATTACTTACTGGACATTCTAACTTGATTACTCAGACTCTCTCAAAGTGAATATCCTGCCAAACCTTTTAACCCTTTCTCTCTTTTACTGCTTTAGTAGCTGTAGTCATATGTAGCAAATTGAGTTCAGATTTATTCAAATTAAATATATTTAGAACTTCACTGGCTGGTTGCACTAGCACCACTTCAAGTACACAATAGTTCTTTGTGATGAGAAGATTCTGTGTTGGATAGCCCAACTAAAGAGCATTCATGTCATCATACAAAATTCTGTTGGCCAATGATACCTTAGAGCCCTTGTTGACTTTCAAAAAAATATCTCAAGTTGCACCAATCAGAAACAGTTATTAAATATATCCCCTGTGCTCAATGCCTACTCTTCTGGCTTACATCATCTTTATATTCTGCCTGAAGTGTGATAAAGCTTCCAACTATCTCTGCATTCTTATTTATTACATAGATCCTGTTTAAATGCATGGTCTAGTGAGAGAAAACTTATTCTGAATTAGTGAAAAAATATTTTCTTTCTTTTTCTCGTAAGAATCTCCTCTTATTTATTTAGGTAGTTTTGTTTCATAGCTTCTTACAAATAGACCTTTTTAAGAAGACAGACTAAATTATTTTTAAAATATAGTGAATAGTTTAAATCAATTTAATTATCTTAAAATCATTTTGACTTAAAAAATTAAACCAAAATTTTAGCCATTAATTATACATATAATAAACAAATGGAAAAACCTGTTTCTGTGTTTACATAATACATATTTTAGTCTTTATCCTTATTAATGAATGTGTGTTAGTCACTTCCTTTCTGAAAAGTGCTTTGCCAACAATCTGAAGTGGTTGTTCATGTGAGAAGAGGAAAGTTTTACTTTTATATGAAAAACAAGCTGAAATTGTGTAACCATTTGTGTGAATCTTTCTCTTAATAAATTTAAGTAATTTTGTTGTGGCATCAAAAGCATTTTTCAAATGAGTTTTTAACTACCTATTGTTGCCTCATTAGACATGTTCAAAAGATAGTATTTTATATGAATTAATATTTTAAAGCTTCTGGGAGCCAATGGGAATGCGAACATCAATTCAAAACTTCGCCTACAGCTGTACTACCCACCTACGAAGACTCGATCACAATCAAATGCTGTTGAGGTTTTTGAATGGTGGTCCAAATGTCCACGAAATCGTTATCCATCAACATTGTATGTAACTGTGCGAGGACTGAAAGTTCCGGACTGTGTAAGTTCATAGCACTTATGGCTTCTCTTGATGACACTAATGATTACATGGTATATTTCTTACTTTAAATAAGCTATGGTCTTGAACATTATTTTAATAGATTTCTGTAGTAAAAAGATTCATTCAGAGATTTATATATTTATTTTGTCATAGTTGATACTTAAGAGAAATGTTTTCCTATACAGAGCCAGAAAGCAAATATTTTAGGCTTTACAAGCTATATTTTCTGTCAATTTTGTAGTATTTAATAAGCTGTTCAGACAGTAATGTGTTGTAGCCCAATAAAATTTTCTAATAACAATACAGTAAGCCAGATTTGATATTAAGCTATAATTTTCATAACTCTGATTTACTTATTTCTCTAGCGTATTCAAATAGTTAACAAATAATATTTTGATGTCATTTTCTACAGCAGATGAACATTGTAAATGATCTGAGAAAAGGATTAATCCTAAAATCAAACACATTTTTCTTGTTATAAGACATTATTTGTTATATGACACTAATTTTTCAGGTTAGTTGTATATTCTGTAGTTGATAGTATATACTGTGACCAAGGAGTTGATTTGCATTGGTTTGAATGCCATTCAATAAAAATCTAACATTAAGAAATAAATTTTTAAAAAACATAAAATGAAATTTTTAAACAATATTTTATTCTATATTTTGTGATTTTTTGAAGCCAGGGGCATCATAGCACATTATATCTATGGCAAAGCATCGGGCAGGTATTGATGAGGAAGAGCGCACAAAAAAACAGTCATTAAAACCATTTATGCAGTCATAATAATTAACTTTTATCCAAACTTTTAAAACTTATTTATTATAGAACTATACTTTGAAGTACATTCTATTTTATTTAGAATAATGTGTAAATGAAAATAGAATTTTTTCTTGATTATATTTTGGTAACCTTTCAACATCATTTGTCTCATTATTTTTCAAACAATATATGCTAGGGAAAAGAAAAGCATTAAAATGATATAAAGTTGCCTATTTTCTGTACATATTTAGATAAAGCCATCTTACCGTTCTATGATGGCCCTTCAAGAGGAAAAAGGTAAACCAGTATATTGTGAACGTCACCAGGAGCCAAGCTCAGTAGACACAGAACCTGGATTAGAAGATTCAAAGGAAGTAGTTAAGTGGAAGCGATTGCCTGGTCAGGTGAGCTGTTTCCTACAGTACTGGATCAAAAAACTACAATAATTCCTAAGGGACTTAGCTTATTACTTACTATCATTGTTAACCTTTACTTATTTTTTCATTAATTCATATGACAAATAACAGTATTAAAATATATTTTAGGATTTTTTTGTCATATGGGCAGTTGTATTAGTTTGCTATAACAAAATACCATAGACAAAAAGGATTCAACAGCAGACATTTTTTTCTCACAGATCTAAAAATCTGAGACGTCAAAGAGCAAGATACTAGCCAGGTTGGTTTCTAATATGCAGACATCTTCCTTGCTATGTGATAGAGAGGGAGATAATTTCTTTCATGTCTCTTCCTTTAAAGGCAGTAATCCCATTTACAATGACCCTACAGTTAGTGACGTAATTACTTCCCAGAAGGCTCTCCTCTAGATATCCTCATGTTTTGATTAAGGTTTCAACGAAGAAGTGTGAGTGTGTGTGTGCGTGTGCGTGTGCGTGTGTGTGTGTGTGTGTGTGTGTGTACGTGGGTACATATGTACAAGCCAGTACTGGAGCTTGGCTTGAACTCAGAGTATTGGTTGGCTTTTATTATTATTTTTTGTCAGTCATGGTGCTTGAACTCAGGGCCTAGGTACTGTCCCAGAGCTTTTATGCTTAAGGCTAATGCTCTAACTTTGAGCCACAGCTCCATTTCCAATTTTTTGGTGGCAAATTGGAGGTAAGAGTCTCACAGACTTTCCTGCCTGGGCTGGCTAGCTTCAAACCACAATCTCAGATCTCAGCCTCCTGAGTAGTTAGGGTTACAGGCAAGAGCTATAGGCACCTGCTTTGTTTGGCTTTTATGTTGTTGTTCATGATTGGTGCTCTACCACTTATGCAACAACTCCTCCACTTCTAGCTTTTTGATGGTTAATTGAGATAAGAATTACTTGTTTCTAACACATTTATAAGATTATTCTTTGTTGCTTTGTATGTCCCTCCCCATGGTATAATCCCTGCTTTCACTGTATTTGATGTTGTTATAATTTGTGGAGGGGAAGGGAAAAAGCAAATCGTTTAAATAGGGATACAGGTGGGCCCATTGCAACAATGAGACATACAAGTCGTTATGTCGAAAATGAACTTTACAATTTTGGTGGGCCGTGGGGGGGGTGGCAGAGTTGGGTTGGGGGGAGGTGGGGTAGGATGAGATGGGAAGGGGAAACAAAGGAGGAGGCTACAATGCTTGATAAGAAATGTACTCATTATCTTGCCCATGTAATTGTAACCCCTCTGTACAGTATTTTCACAATAAAAAAAAAAAGAATTTCTTGGAATAATCTCGCTGGGCTGGCTTTGAATTGAGTCAGCTTTCAGCATCCTGACTACCTAGGATTACAGGCAAGAGCCACCGGTACCAAGTTTCAAACACAGAATTTTGAAGGAACATAAGCATTCACTCCATAGCAAATATCAAGGTGCCAGCAAAACTTCTTTGAGACCTCTTCTTGGCTCGCATATGGCTACTCTTCTGTTGTCTCTTCATATGGTCTTTGCTCATTAAGATCTGATATTTTTTCATCTTACAAGTGTGCAACACTGCTGAATTATAACTACTCAGATGACCTCATTTTAACTTAATGTTGTTTTTAAAGACCCTATCTGCCACCATTACTTTACAGATGCACTAGAAGTGGGACTGTAACATACTAATTTGAGGTGAAAACACAATTCAATAACAACATTAAAAAACCCACAAAAAAACCAGATATTTGATGCCTATGAGAGATGTATTGCCTAATACCTGGATTCATCAATTTTTTATAAGCCCTGGTTTCTTTGATCCAATTTTGATGGATATAATACTTTTGCATTTTCTACTGCTTGGGCAACATTTAACCTTTTACTTGAGTTTTCTTCCTTAGCTGTTTTTAATGTGGTAAGAATATACTGTTGTTTAAATTTGTAATGTGTTGATTTATGTCTTATAAAGGATGAAACAGTTTATGTGTCTGAGTAATGGAATTACTGAGTAATAATATGTAGTAATGGAAATTAACTAGTTTTTCTATGCTATGTTTTCCTAATTTATATTTTTAAATGTATATTTCTTTAGGCATGCCGGGTTCCAAACAAGCACCTTTTCTCACTAAATGCAGGAGAACGAGGATGTTTTTGTCTTGATTTCTCCCACAATGGAAGAATATTAGCAGCAGCATGTGCCAGCCGGGATGGATATCCAATTATTCGTGAGAAATAATTCTTCCTGTTTCATCTGTGATCTGTGTGGCAGACATTCTTTGATTTTTAAAATTTATTGAAATCTTAATTTTAACCCTAACATTTCCTTTTGTTATCTTTGACCATTTCCATTTCTTTAATGATACTCTCTTTTTTTGGTGGGAAATCATTCCTATACATTAACATTTTAGGCATTGTTTTTTAGATCTTTCGTTATATTTATAATCATGGATTTTAGGCTTTTGTTGAGAAAGATTAACATCTAGTCTTCCTCATTTTCTGAGTGAACAGGTTTGGTGCCTGTTTTTTCCCCTCCTACCTCCCCATTCTCCACCTCCTGGGTATAGGTCATACTTCCCTGTTTGTTATTTATTTATTTTTTTAAGACCTCATACTTCTATGTTGGAAACTGGTTTGATTTTGTTGCTGTTTGATTAGTGACTTTCTGGACTAACTTTATAAAGTCTTATTCTTTGTCAAATATTGCATTCTAACCTCTACTCACTTAGGTTAATGATCATCTAATTAGGGCTGGGAAAATATATTTTTTTAGTACTTTGAGTGGATAGGTCTGAAGTCCTTTGTCAGTGGGCTCTTATATACACTCAGCAGGTGCTCTTTCTATCTCTCTGTATCTCTCTGTGTATCTGTATTCTCTTTCTCTCTCTCTTTCTCTCTCTCTCAGAATATACTTTCCATGCTTCAGCAGTTTATAACTCTGCCTTACCCTTCACTTCTTGTTTGTACAGCACCCCCACAGATCAGCCAAAGTGATAGAGGCAAAAGCCTTTGGAGATTCTCTTGGGCTTTACACAGTGCTTTACATATGTGCATGGGAATCCTAGATTCTCAGAAATATTTAGGACTTTTCAAAGTTTCTATGGCCATCTCATTTGCAGTTTTTTTTATTTCTTTAATGTTATGCTCTATAGTGAACTTCTTGTTAGCTACAACTCGCATGGTCCCTTTTCTCAGCTACGGTGTTAAATGGTGCCAATGATTGTTCAACCTGCATCCCAGTATTAGGATTGTTTGCCTATACCCTGCAAAAAGCCAGCTTAAATACAGTAAAGCCAAGTTCTGAGTTAGGTAGCCTTTCCTAGAACTGACAGATTGTCAGATGTAAGTCTCTGGGGATAGAGCTTTTAGAGAATTTCAAAGCAGTTCTGCACTTTCCAGTGTCTAGCTACTAGCCTTTTGACTTCCTTAGCTTGTAAGACTACTTTAGAGTTTAGGAAAGAGAAATCAGATCAAGTGAAAATGCCACCAGAAAGTTCAGTGTTCTTACAAAGATTCAATCTGTTCTTGGATAAATACTTGCAAGACATGCTAAAGGTGCAGAGTTTTGAAGAGTTATTTTGAGAATTTTTGCTATTGTCATTATTGTTTATCAGGGAATGGATTTAATTTTGTTTCTTAATTTTGCTATTTCAGTACTTCTGTACCACTTAGTGCTTTAAAGAGCAATTGCTTTCACCACTAGGTGGAGGTAGAGACTTAGAAACGTTATTCTATATTAAGCATTATTTTAAGTTCAGTTGTATATGAAACATGATAATGGTACATTGTCTGATTGAGTTGCTGCTAATTCCCTTATGCTGTCATCTAAATAGTGGAATTTCTTTCTGATAACAGCACTGTTTAAATTTAAATTTCAAACGTTACTATTAGAGTTTATAATATTTGTGAAACTACAAATTATAAAATATGTGAAATAAGTTGCAATATTAATCTCATTTAATCCTTGACTAATACAATGATTATCAAAGATTTTTAGAGAATTACTTTGAGCAGATGAGATTAATATATTAAATTGTATTGTACTGTTTTAGCACAGTATAAAATATTGTGTGTGAATTTCTGTGTTTAAAGCAAATGGAAAACTACTGTGACTGTCTTTAGTTATAATTTACAAATAGTGATTAACCTTTGTCTAAATTATTATAAATTATGTATATATTGTTGGATTAAAGATCTAGAAACTTACTAACTTTCAAAAATCTACATCAGTTTATGAAATTCCTTCTGGACGTTTCATGAGAGAATTGTGTGGCCACCTCAATATTATTTATGACCTTTGCTGGTCTACAGATGATCGATACATCCTTACTTCATCATCTGATGGCACTGCCAGGTTAGTATACTCATAAAGTATTTACTGTATATGCTGCTTGCCATCAAGGAAAGAGATGTGATGTAACTACTTTAAGTGTAACTTGTATTTTACCGATGATCATAGTATGCATTATGCAAACTGACCAATGAGTTAAGTAGTAAAACTGCTTGAAGGCATTTTTCTTAAATATGTTTCATTTATGTAACATATAGCATTTGGTCATCACCATCTTTAAATGTTTATTTTATCAAATGTTCGATTATGTCACCCATTTGATTAATACCTTGAGGTAAGGTTATTAAATATTTGAGTTTTTTTCTTTCCTAGAATATAAGCTCTTCATGGTAAGGATTCTCTCTTCTCTTTTAGCTAGATATATGGGCCAGAACCCAGTGGTGCTCAGTGCATAGTAATTGAAGTGAATAGGTACTTGATATTTTAAAAAGTTTTATAGGTTGTTAAATATTTTCATTTTTCATATTGTTGGTCTTAAAGTATCCCCTTTCCGTTTAATAAGTACCGTGATAACCATTTTAGTTATTGAGGCAAGTTTCTCTATGTAGCTTGTGGTAGCCTCGAATTTGTATTCCTCCTACTTCAGCTTCCCAAGTTCTTGGATTGCAGGCATGTGCTACTACACCTGGCTCAATAAAACATTTAAAGACACGCGCATGTGTGTGTGTGTATGTGTGTGTGTGTGTGTGTGTGTGTGTGTCTGTATACTCAGGCTTAACCTCAGGGCTTGAACAATGTTCTTAGTTTTTTTGGCTCAAAACTAGCACTCTATCTCTTGTGCTTAAATTCTGGCATTTTGGTGGTTAGTTGGTGATAAACATCTTATAGACTTTAAAATTAATACTAATTAATTTGTTAACTTAATAAAATTAATAATTGAGTAATAACTAATTGTTAATATGTAATGTTATCATTGTATATTATATAACAGTATTAATGAAATAATTAATGGTTATTAATAAATAAATAATAATCACTCTACATCACAAAAATAGTGTGAAAAAAGAGAGAAGCATCATGGCTAGAACTAAAAAGACAAATGTTTTTGTTTTGTGTTGGTCGTGGGCCTTGAACTTAGTTCTGGCGCACTATCCTGAGCTTTTTTTTGCTTAAGCCTAGTGCTCTATCACTTGAGCCACAACTTCACTTCCATCTTTTTGGTGGTTAATTGGAGCTAAGAGTCTCAGGGAGTTTCCTGCCTGAGCTGGCTTGAAGCTAAGATCCTCATATCTCAGCCTTCTGAGTAGCTAGATTATGGTATGAGCTACTAGTGCCTGGTTAAAAGATGTTTTTGAAACAAGTAAATGATAATTGATATGAATAACCTAAAGTGAAAGGAAGGGAACTAGAATTGCTATTGCTTACAAATGGAGTTTTGGTTTTCTGAAACTTTTTCAGAAAAAAGTTTTTAGAAACCTTCATGGATAGCTTTGAGTTCAGTTTTTACACAAAAACATTCATTTTTATTTTAAAAATAGTGCATCTATTTTAATTGTGTGTCATTGTTTTGATGATAATCTACCTAATTTCTGTAGGTTACAAAGTATTTTACATAATGTCACTAAGATTTATTATCAAGCAATTCTTTTTTTTTTGGTCGGTTGTGGGGCTTGAACTCTGGGTCTGGGTGCTGTCCCTTAGCTTTTCAGCTCAAAGCTAGTGCCCTACCACTTGAGCCACAGCGCGTCTTCTGGTTTTCTGAGTGATTTATTGGAGGTAAGAGTCTCATGGACTTTCCTGCCCTAGCTGGCTTTGAACCACCATCCGTAGATCTCAGCCTCATGAGTAGCTAGGATGACAGGCGTGAGCCACTGGCACCGGCTAGCAAGCAATTTTTAACTCTCTTAATACTTCCTTCAAAATTTTGTTCTTAGTAAATATCCTATTTCACATAACATATGTTCACTGAAAATTTTATCTGAAGTAAAACTGTGCAATAATACATGTACTTTATTGTTACTTGAAACCATGTATTTTCACTTCCTTCATTATTAATTTGGGTCCTTAGTAATTGAAGATCACAAACTATATTTTAAGCAGCTGCTGAAAATATAGAATGTTATTCTTGATTAGCCAATTATATTTTTCTCTTTCATTTATACTTTGATAAGGATTTTAATTGCCTCAATTATTAGGTAGTAATTAAGAAAATGAACTTTAAATTCCCATTGTAAATTTTAATATATTCTAATGGTAATGATTTAAACATACTTTTTAAAAGCTACCGTTTAGCCAGGTGCCAGTGGCTCACGCCTGTAATCCTAGCTACTCAGGACGCTGAGATCTGAGGACTGCATTTCAAAGCCTGCCACGGCAGGAAAGTCCATGAAACTCTTATCTCCAATAAACCACCAGAAAACAGAAGTGGCGCTGTAGCTCAAGTGGTAGAGCACTAGCCTTGAGCTGAAGAGCGGAGGGACAGCACCCAAGCCCAGAGTTCAAGCCCCACGACCAGCCCCCCCCAAAAAAAAGCTGCTGTTTAACACATATTTAACATTTGTTGCTAGATTTTAACCTGTTTTTAAACATTGCTATAAATGTGGAATATCTAACAAAACAACCTTTAGGATTTTCTCTTTGGCCACGACTATAAGGAATAATAATTTTTTTAACTTTTTATTTATTTTTTATTGTGAAAATACTGTACAGAGGGGTTACAATTACATGGGCAAGATAATGAGTACATTTCTTATCAAGCATTCTAGCCTCCTCCTTTGTTTCCCCTTCCCATCCCTTCCCATCCTCCCTCCGCCCCCACACCCAATCCTCCCCACCTGCCCCCCACCAAAGTTGTAAAGTTCGTTTTAGACATAATGACTTGTAGGAATAATAATTTTTAAAAATCAGCTAACATTTAGAGGAAGAGATAATGAGACTGTTAAACATAAAGGTAGTATTTAATATATGAGAGTCTTTTCTAAATAATGAGCATTTTAGTTTTTATCTTATTTTACTTAAGAATTCAGAGCAACTTCCATATGGTTTTTAAGTCTTTGGGATCTTCCTATTCATTATGTTGGCTTTAATATTACAAATATAAAGTTTATGGAAATCTTGTTCTCTAAACCTCGACTAATAAGCATTTTGTAACAGCAATATGCATAACCTAACTGCAAAATTGTTAAAAGTTTTTTCCCATTGTTTTTCAGTGTAAATGGTACTGCCTTACCAACTTCTCAACATGTATTTACTTGATATAAAAGTAACTAGGTTTCAAATATATGTGACCAAATATGCATAATTTTATAGTATAGATTACACTTAATAGATATATTTGATAATAGGAAACAGCTTTGTAAAAATGTAAAGAATTTTAGTCTTCAAATATATGACATTTATATTAGTTTACCATTGGTTATTGTGCAAAACCAATTGGCTGTATTGGTTCTTAGAAACACTGAAAAAGAAAGTTGTACCTTTTATAATCAGTATGTAACTTTTGATCCTTTCCTAGGATATGGAAAAATGAAATAAACAATACAAATACTTTCAGAGTTTTACCTCACCCTTCCTTTGTTTATACGGCTAAATTCCATCCAGCTACAAGAGAGTTGGTGGTTACAGGATGCTATGATTCAATGATACGAATATGGAAAGTTGATATGAAAGAAGATGCTGCCATATTGGTTCGGCAGGTTGATGCTCACAAGAGTTTTATCAACTCACTCTGTTTTGATGATGAAGGTATGTCAGAGTATGTTCCAATGAAGGCAACTACTACTATACTCTTAACGCTATTCACTTTTGTTATTTTATTTATTCCCTGATTATTTTTGAGTTTTTACTGGGTCTTAGATGTTATTGGAACAAGACATATTAAAACTTCTAAAATTTTTGTAAGACTAGTGAAAGTAATTATTTAGATTAATATGAAATAATATGTGTTCAGTAAACCAAACAATCTGGCTTCAGAAAATGGGCTACAGACACATGTCCTGAGATATTAATTTCTTTCTGTATTCCAGTTCAGGTAAGTGACAAAGGGAAATGACAAAGGGAAATGTCATGAAAAATAATTTAAAAGAATGAAGAACTTGTTTAAAGAAAATTGAAACTAGATTGTAAGTTATATTGTACTTTTTGGCTTTTTGAAACCAAAATACCCTTTAGTAGGCCTCAGATTGTTTAACTGTTTTACTGGGTTATGGTTTCCCCAACTTAACATAATTTGTTTCCTAACTCTGTGCCATTTTTAAGTGACCAATTTTATTTTAAAATAGGTCATCACATGTATTCTGGCGACTGCACAGGGGTGATTGTTGTTTGGAATACTTATGTGAAAGTTAATGACTTGCAGCATTCCGTGCGCCACTGGACTATAAACAAGGTAAAACTTCAATCACATGACATTAAAGTAGATGCTAAGGACATCTTCTGTTGGGTCTTTGAGATAAGTAACAATTTCCTCAGTCTCTACAAAGTTCATTATCATTAATTAATTCTCACAAGTTTATGATAGCTGACTGATTACAACCTTGTGAAATTTTACATTTTCCCCAAGCTTTACTTTCAGTCTTTGTTCATGCATTCATTTATTATGTTGTGATCAACCCAGAGCCTTCTGCAAACTAGGCAAAAGGTCCACTATTGAACTACAACTCCAGTCCCTTTAGTCTTTTCACCCTCAGTTTTCAGCATGGTCAAATTTTCTATTATTTTTACCTGTTTTTTCTGGTAACATGTCACTAAAAGTAGTATGCTCAGTGCTTTGGCAATAGTACTTTCAGAATTATCCAATTATAGCAGGATCTAACATTTAATCACAAAATTAACCAATTGTAATTATTTCATTTGAAATTTGCCAGCTTCCTAGACACCAATGAAAAAGCTCATTTTGGGGAAAGATTGTTTCAAAGATGGTCTTTAAGCAATTTTTTTGATAAGAATATTTTTATGTTTTTAGTTCAAAATACAAATGAGGGGGAAACTTAGGGGAATGGGTACAAAGGAGTGATATTGTCCAAAATAGAAATTTATTTATCACCTGACTTACGAAATGGTAACCCTTCTATATATACCTTAATAATAACCATAAAATTATATTAAAAATATAAATGGATTGTTAAGATTAATTTGTGATTTGGCTGCATGCCTCCTTCCTTTCTTTCTTCCTTCCCTTCCTTCCTTCCTTCCTTCTTTTTTTTGTGCTGGTACCAGGGTTGATTCAGGGCCTTTGAACTCTTCCTTGGTTCTACCACTTGAGCCACATCTACAGTCCAGCTTTTTTATTGGTTAATTGGAGATAATATCTTGCAGACTTTTCTACCCAGGCTGGCTTTAGACCACTATCCTCATAGCTAGCCTCTTTAGTAGACTAGATATGTATGATCCACCAGTGCCCACCTTTTGTTTTTTGTTTTTCATAATGGAAAAATGCCAATGGCTCCCTAATGAGTGGAGTGCTTATATTTTGTTGTTAGCTAGGTATTCAATGTCTTTGCTTGTGCTTTACTAATATAAAGAAATATATGGCTGAGTATTGGTGGCTCATGCCTGTAATCCTACCGATTCAGGAGTCTGAGATCTGAGGATAGCGGTTTCTAGCCCAGGCAGAAAAGCTCCTGAGACTTTTATCTCCAGTTAACTACCAATAAAACCGAAAGTACCGCCGTGGCTCAAGTGGTTGAATACTAGCCTTGAGAAAAAAAAAGTTGAGGGACAGCACTCAGGTCCTGAGTTCAAGCCCCTGATGAGAAAAAAAAAGGAAATTATGAAAGAAGTTACTTGGTAATTACAAATACTAAATCTGACATTACCTTTCTCTAAATTATACTTCACTCTTTTTCTGCACTTTGGTTTTGATTTTATGCTGTTAAATTCATTGTGATTGCTACTATCTCCATTAATCCTTCCCCATCTCAAATTTGTTGTAATTTAGCTCACCAAAATGGACATCTTTGATGTCAGTGTTTCATTATTTTCTGTAACTTTTTAAAAATCATTTTGAGTTACCTTTGATTAGTTGAACAGAGGAATTGCCATTTAACAAAGCAGTTTATGAATACAATATATCTTGATCAATGTCACCCCTTCCAACATTCTGACCTATCCCTCCCCTAACCATCCCATCCATCACTCTTATTAATTTTGTAGGATTTTTGTTGGATTCGTCTCTGTACTTCCCCCCTCTTTTCTTCATTCGTCTACTCCTCTCCCCAAAATCTTCCTGGTGTTTTATTTGGCTGAACTTTGGTTTTTTTCTAAGGAATTACACCATTTGAAATCTTTCTTGAATCTACCGTATTTCAGTTAATACATTTGTATACACTTGTATACTATCCACCGTTTAAGCTAAATCTAGCTTTAACATATAAGGGAAAACACAGATGCTTTTCTCTCTAGGCTTGACTTACTAAACTTAACATAATTTTTTCCAAGTCTTTTCTTTACAAATGGTACAATGTCATTCTTTCCAATGGATGAGTAAATTCCAGTATGTATGTATGTATGTACATCATGCTTTCTTGATCCATTTGTCCACTGAGTGGCATTTGTTTTCATACCTTGGCTATGGTGAATAGTGCTCTAGTAAACATGGCTGTGCTGGTGGCTTTTATATCCTAGTTTGTAATCTTTAGGGTAAATGCCTATACTTGTTATTCTTCTGTGTATATTCTGACCAACAGCCCCCATTTCTTCTACCTCTCAGCCTGTGGTAAACTCTATATATTTGATCTTTGTACATGGCTTAGATTTTATTTGTAAGTTGGATGATGCAATACTTTTCTTTATGTGTGGCTTAATTCACTTAGCATAGTGTCTTACAGTCTCATCCACATCATATCAAACAGCAATATCTTACTCTTTGTTTCTTTTTTTTTTTTTCTCTTCCGAGGCTTGAACTCAGGCCCTGAGCACTGTCCCTGAGCCTCTTTGTGCTCAAGGTTAGCATTCTACCACTTGAGCCACTGCACCGATTCCAGCATTTTTTTTTTTCTGAGTAGTTTATTGGAGATAAGAGTCTATGGACTTTCTTGCTCTGGCTGGCTTCAAACTACAATCCTCAGATCTTAGCTTCCTAAGTAGCTAGGAATATAGGCATGAGCACTCCGCTTATCTTTCCCTTTTTTTTTTTTTTTTTTGGTCCGGTCGTGGGGCCTGAACTCTGGGCCTGGGTGCTGTCCCTCAGCTCTTCAGCTCAAGGCTAGCGCTCTACCACTTGAGCCACAGCGCCACTTTCGGCTTTTTTCTTTTTGCTTATGTGGGGCTGAGGAATCGAACCTAGGGCCTTGAGCATGCAAGGCGAGCGCTCTACCACTGAGCCACCTTCCCAGCCCCTCTTACCCTTTTTTGAGGCTCAAAAATATTCCAAAGTGTGAGAGTGTGCATTTATGCTTACATATTCATTTGTCGACAGACAAGTTGTGTCTATATCCCAGTTATGAGTAATACTACAATGTACATGTTAGCATACATATATGTACAAGGTGTTGATTTGTTTTGCTTGACTACATGTCCCAAAGGAGGATTCTAGATCATCTGATGTCTCTAGCTTTAATGTTTTTAGAAACTTCCATAATGTTTTCCCTATCAGCAGTGTACAAGACTGCTCTTTTTTGTACATCCTAGACAACATTTAGGGGTTTCTCTGATAATCACACTAACAAGTGTAAAATATTATTTCATAGTTGTTTTAATTTGCATTTCCCTGGTTCTTAATGATCTTGAGCATCTGTTCATATATCTTTTGACATTATTACATCTTTTGAGATGTCTGTTCAGGTCTTTTGCCCATTTTTAAAATTTCAGTTATTTGTTTTTTCATTAGTGAGTTGTGTGAATTCTTTCAAAACCCCTATCAAATAAATGATTTGGAAGTAATGCTTCCCAATTTGTAGATTAAAATTGATTTTGTTAGTTGGTTATTGTACAGGTGCCTTTTAGTTAAATGTAGTCTCATTTGCTTTTGCTTTTATGACCTGAGCTTTCGTTGTAATATCCTTAAAAAAATCATTGTTAAAGCCAATATTTATGAACTTTTCTCTTCTGTTGTCTTATAGGAGTTTTATAGTTTCTGGCCTTATGTTTAGATGCTTTACCCATTGTGAATTGGTTTTAGAGTATAGTGTACCTTAAGGGTAGTCATTTTTATGCAAGTCTTGTACAGGCAATTCTTCAGTGTCAATGTCTTTTCTAACTTCATTAGTTCAGTATCTTTATAGCTCCCTGAAATAATTACTAGAAATAACAAAAGAAAAGAAGAAAATCAAATTTCAAATTATAGTCTAAGTTAGATGATTCCAGAATTAAATATCCAAAACATAATATTTTTTCTCTTTTTTTATTGTGAAAATACTGTACAGAGGGGTTACAATTACATGGGCAAGATAATGAGTACATTTCTTATCAAGCATT